ATTATAATCCAAAATTTAATTAGTTAAAAAGTTGCCTTCAATAGGTCTCACCAAATATAATGCAGCCCATAACTGCCCCTTGTTAGGTATTAACTTACTAAACTGAAAAGATAGTGGAACCGATCATGCAATTTTAAATATTTTCAATTAATTGTGAAGGCACAAAGGAATAATTACAGGATTTCCTATTCAGAGGTAAGAGGTTAAATTAAGGATTTAAAATTGTTAATGAATAAATAATTGGCTATCACTTGTGATTTTAAATTTTTTTGGGGCTTATTTACTCTCGTAAGTTTTTTGAAAGACTCCTTGTCTCGACCATTATGCTTCATGCCACTAGCATAGCGATGTCAGTGAAACTAGTTCGGCAACATTGCACGAAGGTTTGAAATGATTTGCATACAATTTTGGATAATTCTTCTTGTACATTAGGGGTGCCATAATGATGTCCATAATGGACACATGGCACCCCACCATTGGAGAGTGAACTAGTGAACCTGCATGAATTTTGAGACTTCCCAAGTTGAGATGAACCTAGTGAACTATGTACTTACGCTAAAATTCTTTTTATTCCAACTATTTTATGTCTTTTGACATGCAAGGTTGGTTGCAGTGGCCTTGGACTCCACGATCAGGGGCAGACCAACGTGAGGACCAATGGGGGCCGCCGCCCGCCACTCAATTTTTAGAATTTCAAATTTTTTTTCAATGTTTTTTTTTATTTCGTGCCCACCGAACTTCCTTCCTGGATCCGCCCATATCCACGATTATTTCATATTAGCATTAGTTCATTTTCTTACTCATAGACAAAGCAAAAAACTTAGAATTATGTCCCATTCAGAAGATATAACTTGTATCGATATATTCCATATTTGCTAAAGTTCAATGTGCATATATAATTGTCATTTAAGTATGGTGTGTAAATGATTCTGTTTCTAGATAATTAGCATCATCCATTTTTAAAATTTTTTTTTTTTTTACAGTTACTAAATTATTCAATCTAAGCATTCTACCAACAACCATTCATTCCATTTGGACCGACCTACTTAATTTTTTTATGCTTAAGAAGATACTAAGCAAGATTTTATGCTTATAATTGATGCATGCAATTTAAATACGTGAAGACAAGATAGAATATAAATAAGTCAACCTCATCATCTAACCAAAACACACTGAATTAAATAAAAATTTTGGCATTTCCAAACCCCATTTTGCCACATATCATCATCATCATCCTCTTCTTCTTCTACTTCTTCTTCAAAAATAAGTTACTTATTTTTATAATAAGATAATATTTTTAGTTGAAAGTAAAAATAGTAAGGGATTGTTCTGTTTGTATTTCAGTTTTGTGTTTTGAGTGTTCATTTTGAGGTTATTGAAAATGTGTTCTTTTTGACATTTTGAAAAATTGTTTTGAAAACACCCAAAACGCGTTTTGAAAATTTTGACTTGATTATAACTGAAAACACGTTTTCTTTGTAAATTTTTAACTTGTTTTCAAAAATGCGTTTTCGCAAATAGGAAAGAGAACACGTTTTCACTGTTTTGGAAAATTGAAAACAGAAAACGGCTTGAAAATGATAAAGAAAACAGATTCTAAGTTATTCAAGAATACTTAGAAATAAAAAGTTACTTAAAAGTAAATTTTAACGTTCAGAAACAAAAATAGTTTAAAAGTAAACTAGCAAATTAAGCTAAGTGCGCATTTAAGATTAACTCAATGTTATCATGTTTAAACTCTTTGATCGGATCCAACTTTACTCAACTTGTGACAAGTTTAATTGTTAATAACTGACGAATTTCTAATTAATTTAATTTAATAAACTAAAAAATCTGATAAGATACTGAATGATTCATAAACTAGTTCACATGACGATTTAAGTGTTCCCTAAAAAAAGGTAGTTTAATTTTTATTTTTATATATATCACAAGCTATTGTTTGACTTTTTTGTTCATTAAAACCCGTGAAATTTATATTAAACTCTGCTTAACCACTTCGTCAATTTGACATAAACAAATTTTGTAGGATCATCAAGTCGGTAAGATTTTTTTGAAATAGATTTTGTGAAAAATGATTTTTCGAAAAATGTGGTTAAAAGTAGGAACAAATTCTGAATTCACGTGAAAAATTAATTTATTGAAAAAATGTATAGTTGAAAATGAATTTAAAAAAGTGGGGTCCAAACATAGACTTCAATTTTTGAATAATATTTCATGTACATAAGCATTATTCACAGGGATCGTACATGCCCCTAATTTTTTTTAATACATGTGGGGCCCCCTTTGTGAGGAGCCTGTACAACCCCTGTGAATAATGCTTCAATACATGAAACATTAATCTTAATTTTTGCCATGCTAGCTAGGTCATGAACATGGAAGCTAGGGGATAGGGCTGCAGCAAAAAAACGAGTGCGCAACATGAACATATATAATCAATTTTTATCTTATTCTCAATAACTTAAGAATCAATAATAAATGGGAAAGATAACACCATTGCACATACATTAACGATCTAATTGTATATTGTGAATTAATTGTCTTCTGAGTTTATAAGCACTGTGAGCATCTTCATCCTACAAATTCGTTTTAAGGGCGAGTTTCACCTGAAATTGTTAAAATTAATATAGGAAACAAACACTCATATTGTACCCTCATTGCAGAAGGGGCAATTCGAGGAGGTTACATCCAATAGAAGATTAATTTTGTGTAGTCACCTAGCTCGAAAAAATAAATAGTCGTGGAATGATCTAATTGTAACTTGCGCTGCTCACAAAAAGCATTCCTTATAATTATACAAGTACTTTGAACATTCTTTCGTTACATAGTGAGTTATGTTCAAAATTATTTATATATATGATCTAATGAAACGATGTCCCGAACAAAATTAATAATTTAAATTAACCTTCTAACAAGATCATTTGATCAAACTAAATTAAAAGGAAACATAAAGAAAAGAAATTCGGTTGACTCAAACCCTCACAAAGTTTGAACACTCAACCGATGATTGCGGCCATCTTCCCTCGAAATTATTAAAGAAAGAAAAAAATCATAATCTTGTTCTTATGGTATTTATTGAAATAATCAAATCTGCAGCACATGATCGAAAGTCAAAGTCAACAGCTTTTTGGTTCTTCATTGATGGGTTTTATTGTTATTTATTTAACAAGCTGTACCGCGTCAAACACAAAACAAGAGTCCAGACAAAATCAGTCTTGTTTTGCGTGCACGTCTCTCTCTACATTATTTATTACAAGTGATTCCTTCACTTTTTTTGGGCCAAAAATTATTTTGCATGCAAAGCCCCATACTTTTTGCTTGCCCCTCTCACCATTTCTGTTACTTTTATTTATTTATATGTTTTTCAATTGGGAAAGAGGGTGGTAGGGTAAGCTGTTAGGGTGGTAGGGTAAGCCCCTCGAAGAGACCGGTGTACGGCCTTGATCGTCCTTTGAACCACCAGAATAAGTAAAACTAGAAAATAAGTCGAGACAAGTATTATGTACTTTCAAAAAAGTTATGGTCTTTGCTAAATTCAAAACCGTGCGTGAAACTTTTATCTTGCATAACTCTTTTAAGTGATATAAAAGTTTTGTTGTCACTCAAAGCGCTATGACACGTCGAAGGACTATGATGTCTATTTAATATTAAGCTTCTGTTTGGTTCTTCTTTTTAAATTTTTTTTTTTTTAAATTCATTTTCAATCACATATTTCATGGAATCCACAATATTTATCAAATTTTTGATCATATATTTCATTAACTTCTATCAAATAGCTAAATCATATGAGGGGCTAAACATGAAAATATAAATTCTAAAAAACCTGAGAGATATGAATGGGCTAAGTATGTGTGAACAGACTTTATCCAGTGAACTCATGTCAACGCGGGGTTTGGAAACCCAATAAAGAAGCCCAAGTTAAACTCTATTCAAAGTTAAAAGTCTGCCAAGGGTCCCACATCTTCTGTTGAAGATAATGTTTATGCCAAAACTACTTATTTTTTTTGTTTCTTTTATTAATATAAATTGAGGCATCCTATGATTCTTTTGAACAAGTCAAGTCAATGAATTGACTGAACTTTTAGCATCATGAAACAATTTGAATTAAAATGGACACAAAATCAATACTATGAATTACATATCTCCATGCTTAAAGTAGTGCCAAGTTTTCAAAGAATGTGCTTGAAAATCAATATGCAGAGTTCTAATGTCAAAAAGTTGCTCAAAGTTTGAGATGTCAACCTGTTACAAGGTTCAATTCATCCAAGTATAGTATTAATAATACCCACAAACTCTTATCCCAATGAAAAGTGCCTAACTTCTTTGAGAGAGAGAGAGAATAATTGTCGTTTAGGATTAACGCTCCCTAATTGAAACATGCAATACAAATTGAACAAGACGGCAGTGGACGGACATGATATGGCACTACAATATACAAAACTTTAGCTTCTTTTTGTCTTAACGTTGTAGAAAGAGAGCTCTACAATTTACCTTATCAAACACGTCATGCATCAACATCATCAATGAGTAAGAGCAAAGTTGACAATTTCATTATATGAAGCGAACTGAGAAATTCTCTATAAGAATGCTCAAATTGGTCCTTACCATCCGGCAACTTACCTAGATTCATGACCTACAGTAAAACACTATCCTCATTTGCCAAACTTCAATTAGCTCGAAAATAGAACATGCAAGTGAATGAACAAAGGACTACACAGGACAAGAAATCACTCAAAAATAGGATTTCTTTAATCCATCATAATGTTACAAAGAAAGGTCCAAGTCTTGTCGGCATCTAACACGCTTTAATAAATATTTTTGCTTACATACTAATCAGTTGAATAAAACCAAAACTCAGCACCGGAAGCTCAAACGAGATGAGAAAAAGAGTGATAATTATCTTTCTAAAATAAGAAAATAGCAAAATGTGATGAAAGAAAGATTTGGCTATACTCTCGACTGGAAAACCGAGCCCCACCATGTAGAGAATATTAAATGGTTTCTCACGACTCAGCGGAAGTAGCGGCAGCTTGCTGGAGTCTTCGTTGATGTACGTCCCAGTTGTATATCCGAGCAATGGTAACCTGGACAATAGCATTTGTAAAGATAAAATTATGGCAAACTTAAAATGTCACAAAAGTAGTTTCATGTGATTTATTACAAATGGAGGCATTTCACACACCATAGAATATTCAATGCAAGTATATTGCTCTTCATTTCATCATGGAGCACTTGGACTAACATGAGTATAAATGGAACGGCTGATAAAATATAATATGTGCGAACAATTGTAAGTCATTCTTTACTCTTCATAATATGTGGGAAGAACTTATTCCCGTTAAAACCTTGCCCGAATGTGTAAGAAGGAAAATGCCACCATTACCTGAGTAATTGTCACTTGATCCCTTAAAAACTGTAGATCGGCGACAAGAACTTCTAAACTTTCTTTGGCATTTTCCAAATTTTTCTGAAGAAGGGAAGTTGCCTGCAGAAATTTTTTCAAAAACAAGTAATTAAGGGCAAGTAGTGCAGAAAAGACCAAGTTAAAGGCCCTCTCAGATAATCATATACCTCATCACGCGAATATTCTAGCATAACGTTTGCTCCAAGCCATAGGCACACAGAATCAGTATCTTCAATGCGAGCCCTGGAATATATGCCTTCTGACACTTCAAAATCGGCAATTAGTGCCTGCAACAAAAATATAAGGCCAACAAAACAAACATCTCAAAGTTCAAAGTAGTGTCATATACAATAATTAATCCAAAAACAAAAATGGAGCACCAGATTAGTTTTGCCTAAATAATTAACATACTGCAAGCATTAGATTGGGGGTGCAGAAAATAAATATAACTAGCATAAGCAAGAAAAATTTAGTTCAAAGCAGCTATCTATTCCCTACACAGTTTAGGCATATGCCAGATTTTAATTGAGCATACGAAAGTGAAAATTTTTGCGAACAGCATAATATGACATATTCACTCATATAATTATGCCCCTGTTTGGTTTAGCTAAAAATCATTTTTTTAGTAGACTTTGATAAAAGATAATGAAATGTGTGATTGAAATGTTGATAAAAGTTGCGAGTCCCATAATATCTGGGGTTGAAAATGAGTTTAAGAAAATAGGAACCAAACGGGGGCTATATGCTTTACTGCCATGGAAATTCAGTCCTTTTTGACTAAATCTATATTTCTTTGGGATCTTGAGAATGTCCAAGAATTCCGGATGACTACTTTTTGCCTACGATAAACTACATGAGCCATCAACATTAACACCCATAGGCCACTAGCTGAGCCAGAGCTATTTCAAAAGAAAAATATCATGCTTGAAATAATAACACAACTCAAGGAGAACAAATCAGGATTAACCTTCAAGCTAACTAAAAAAGTCAGTCAAAGGATTCTAAAAGTTATACAAAGTTGATGATGTATGACAAGTTGAGTGATGATAAATGTTCCAAACTGATGTAGACATGAAAATGTAAATTAAAGATGTCATCAACCTAAGACATATATAACTAGGGCTGTAAATGGATCGTATCTGCCTATATCCGATTCGATCCGATAAGAAAATTATCCAATCCGATCAGATCCGATAATCCAACGAATATTTGATGGTTAAATCCATATCAAATTTTCTATGTTATCGAATATCCGATCCGAAATTAATAAAAATTAGGAAAAAAATAATGTTCTTTAAAAAATTTTGAACTAACTTGAGGCCCACTTGTTTTTACTAGCAAGCCCAATAGTAACTTCTACTATCATGATGTTCATTTTTAAAGAAGAGATCATCTTCTAGTTTTCTATTGACATTCGATGTGGGATAAGGTAAAATTGAATTTCAATTCTAAATATAAATATTTTATTTCATTATTTCCATTAATAAATCAAATTATTTGTTACATATTAATTTTAAGTTTTTGAAATTGTAAAATAAATTACAATAATAAATTTAATTAAGAAAAATACAAATATTTATTTACTTTAAATTAGTAAACTAAAATTAAAAAAATTTATTATTTTTATAATATTTTACATTTATGTGTATAGTTATTTATTCAATTTAACAACCGGTTCGATACTGATTCAACCCCAATTCGACTTTTTGACCCTTGATCCTCTTCCTTTTCCTGGTCGATGCCCAAGTTGGTTTTTAAAACATTGGTTGAAATCAACTTCTTTTTTTCAAATTTTTCAATTCTTAAACAGGTTTAATAATTATAAATTTTTCAACTTTTTTATGCTTTGAATTTGATTACTTTTTTATTCTAAATTTATTTATTTTCTCATTTATTTATTTTAGTGACAAATAATATGCTATAAAAATATTTTACCGACTCAATTATTTATAACAAATCGGCTCTGATTGTTATCGGATCGTATTGACCTATATCCATATTTGATCCATTTATTTAATAGATTATCGGATTCGGATCTTGATCGAATTATCGGACTGAGACCCTAAATCCATCTCCCATTAATTTCGTCGGATTCAAATCAAAATCCAATCATTTGACAGCCATAACTGTGACGCAGGTTTCTGATCTTACGATAGTTTGGTAATTTAGAACAAATCTGGATTAACCTTCAAGCTAGCTAAATAAGTCAGTCAAAGGATTCTAAAAATTATACAAAGTTGATGATGTATGACAAGTTGAGTGATGATAAATGTTCCCAACTGATATAGACATGAAAATGTAAATTAAAGATGTCATCAACCTAAGACATATATAACTGTGACACAGGTTTCTGATCTTACAATTGTTTGGTAATTCAGTATTTCTCACCAAATAATGGTACAAATGAAGGAGAGAAGGAAAAATTTACCAAAACTTATTCGAGTGTTGATGGCTAAGAATAGCTTCAAATGATTCCTTTTCAATTTATACTATAGACTAATTAAAGAATTTTAATGCATACTGAAACATGGGAGACAATTTAGTATTATACATTGTTCCGAAGAGACATGGGATTTACAATGTGTATGAACTCATCTTTTAGTATGATTNTCCGAAGAGACATGGGATTTACAATGTGTATGAACTCATCTTTTAGTATGATTTTTGATTAACAATTTCATTTTGTCTTGTATGACATCTTTCCATGCATTATTCTGATTTTTTTACAATCACCCTTGATAATTCAAATGATTTTATTAATTTTCACTTCTATTTGGAGTGTATTGACAAACTTATACACGTTATAAACCTCAGCCTAAATATAAGATAAGAACCAACACCTCTACACTGGAACAGAAGCAATATTTATCAAACAAACAGAACAGCTTATATAAATAGATTTTGTATTTCTACTTAGAAAGACAGTGAATATACATCAGATAGATAGTAAAAAATGTCGGCCAATGTTCCATATACACAAATGCACAAGATATATCTAAGAAATGCTTAACACTAGAAAAACTGACCTCGCCAGTACCCTTCTTAGCTTGCAAAGTTGCAACCACGTCTAAGCACTTTTCAATGTCAGGAATTTTTGCCTGTTGCATTAATTAATAAATAATTAAAAAATCAGCCAAAATTTTTAAAATAAGAAAAGGATGTAAGGAATAGCAAGGCAACACAACGCAATCAAGCCTCTGAAAATTCAATTTTCACTTCTTTACATCAGTATAATGGCTTACATTGCATATTCATGAAGGTAGGAGTTGGCACGCTGTGATAGGGATTCCAAACACCAGAGTAAAAACAAATTCATGCAGATGTGAAGGCAAGACTTCAGACGAGAAGGCCTCAAATTTTTATTATTAGTTTGCACAGAAACCAGGAAATGAAAGAACCTACTAATTTATACTAAACAACAAGAAATGTCAAGCCAGTAGTTTAAATCTTTATGAATCATCATCCATTGCGAAGGAAAGAATACAATTCTGGGTCCACCGAATTAAATCATGTTCATTCCCTTGGAAATTTGAAAGAAGTTGAACCTAAATAATCAAGTTATGGAAATATTTTAACAAGAAATAAAATGCAAAATGATGAACTGAGTATACCTGAAGATCCCTCTGCTGAGCAAGAAGTTTCATCTCCACTACCCTGTACTGCTGAAGCCTGGCAAATGTTAAAAGTAGAATTTATAGTAGGAAACTAAAAAAGTATGTTCACAAGCTAGATTGAAAACAATTTCATTTGAAGAAAATCATTTGCAAACAAATTTATCATAATATTTCACGTATAATTGATATATAGCTCAAAAACAATCATCCAGCACCTTACGGTTCAACTTAAGCCATTTTGTTTTACAAGAGCTGCATTTGTCACTTACAAAGAAAACTACACAAATATCTGTTATCATTTGTAGAAAAGTCTATATAGTACAACAGCAAGCAAAACCTTATTCTCAGTGAACTTTGGATAGACTACATTCATCAGTTTGTTGCTCCGTTCAATCTAGCAGTATGCATTTTGAAAGGTTCGATAAAATCAAATATTTTGTACAGACATTTCCATTCCACGGAACTTGTCTTTCATCTTATAGACATTTTGTCCCATAAAAACTCAACACTTAAGTATACAAATTATAGTTTGTCTAATAAGTATTCTGTAAAAAACTTTTATCTATGTCGTGATCACATGAACTCCTATAGCGATTCTTTATTTTGCACAACCTGCTTGCATTTTATGCATCCCTTTTAGTTTACTCAATAACTGAACCTGAATACCTAAACTAAAACCTAAATAACTGATCCGCTATTGTCTCAACGGTCGTCATCACAACTACTATGATTAAGAGGACATTTTGTATATTCAACCGTAATTCTAGTTAATCTAAAACCTTTATATTCCAACGTAATTCAAAAGTTACAATTAATTCTCTCATAATCTAAGCAATCAAAACTATGTCGTCAGCAACAAAAATGCACAAAGAGACCTACTAGCCAAGAATAAAGCGGGGAAACAAAGGTCTTTGGCAAAGTATTGATATAAAACTTATTGACTAGAGTCTATAGGGATACAAAAATTTTTATCATTATTCCCACGATATCTGTCATAGAACCTTTTTGGACACTCTAGTATATGCTTTTTCGTAATAATACACAGGCAAATTTTATTTCTTTTCTTTGTAATAATTTTCCATCAATTCTGAAATATCTAACTGACCTCCACAGTAAATCTCTCTAGCATGAAACCAAATCTGATCTATGATATATTCAGATGACACCCTAATCTATACTCAATTTCCTTCATAGCATCACTCATCAACTTCCCTTTTTTCCAATCACAGAAATCAACATTTAAAGAGTTTGAGCAGGGTGAATCACACAAATGTATCTGTTTCAATCACCAATTCAGTTTCTTTTTCCCGGATTTATTTATCCATTTTACACCTTTTTTAATATCTGGGCATCAATCAGAGAGCAATGACATTTGGACAAGTCTAAATCCAGTCTGCTCCAAGACATACTTGCTAGAACCGTAAACTGATACTCACCATATCAAGTAAATATTAGAAGCAAAACATTAGTTATTTGGGGGAAAATCCAAATTTTACTCATAATTCACACTTATCTCAAAGTGCTAGTCCCACATCACAAGAAGCCATATGGATTTCAAAGAGTTGATTTACATGCCAGGAAAACATTACGTAAAAAATATATTCTTATATATGTGCCAAAATAATTTAGACAGAGAAAACCAAGATAACTAACTAGACTAAATTTGAAGTGAGAATAGAAGTTTAATATAAATACTATGGGCCAAGGAGATAAAATGAACCCAAGAAAGAGAAATACATGCAAAAAACAAATAGGAGATTGATAGCCAACTTGATAGTGTGGTCAGTCTTTATTATGGGCAAGCTTTGCCAACCATTTCGAGAATAAAAGGTGTGAAGTTCTTGTTATTTTGCCTTCCGGCCATCATTTGATATTCACCAAGCAGTATGTCGCATGTAGCATAGGCTAAATGTCTCCTAATTACTTTTAGTCTTAGCTCATCGACCATAGGACCTTGAGGCAGCTAGAGCCTATTAAGGGTATTAGTAATTAGATATTTGTCATAGAGAATCACAAGTGATCAGTTCGCTAGTTTCTTTGAAAGCGGAAAGAAGGGATATAGAGCATTTCTTATAATGTACAAAAAAACACTTAGCCGTATCAAAATTCATTGACACGAGTGTCCTACTTCAAAATTCTAATAAGAAATTTGTTGTGCTGACTGCTGTTCACAGAGATCCATGCTCGACACATGTTAGACATCGGTTCACTCCACTTCATCCATATGACCCATATGACGAACCACGATAGATGATCATAATAGGGAACACATATTTATGTGGAATAGCTTAATTAAAGACCAAAGGTGAAGGCAATTCATTCCAAAAAATGAAGAAGTCTCCTGTTTCACATTTAAACTAACAAACAAGGGAGGTTTTAGCACATTATCATCAAGGACTCCATGCACCAGTAACACGAAGAAGCGTATGCCAATTGTAACCGATGTTAGTATCTGGACATGAGATATAACAAGATTAAAATGGATTGATTATGAATAAATGGCCAAAATGATAGTACAGGTATGGAATACCTTTAATTTGGTATCCATTATATATTTTCTTGTCAGGATAAAACTTATAAATTTTACAAATAAGTTTTGCTCCATCCATGACAACTTCTAATCCAAAAAATGAAGAACGTGGTTCATGATAGCGTCATCAGAAAATCTATCTTCAACTTTAGAATTGTTGATTAGGTTGCCTCGTTGATCACAAAAGTCAAAAGGGATGGAATCAGTTCCTGTTGTTAATCATCATTTCACATCTTAACATATTATTTTAATCATCACGTCTTACTGAACTCACTACCTTAATTGAACCACCACCGTGATTTACATCTTTCAAAAAGTACATGGCACGTGGGTGAACCTTAAGATTGGTCTCAATAAATAATTAATAAATTAAGTTCGACAGTATCCATAAAGTGGTCAAACCAGCTATCAATAAAGTGGCTAATCCAGCAATCCAAAACTACTAAACGTACTAAAATGAGGAATGTGAGCTCTATAAAGTGTGAATTCAATACAAAAGATGAGGATAATAGTTATTTTCGTATTAAATTAAAAATTCAAACACTTAGGTGCCGTTCTCTTTAGAGTTTTCAAGTCGTTTTCTGTTTTCGATTTTTCAAAACAGTGAAAATGCGTTCTCTTTAGCGTTTTCGAAAACA